TGATAAGTACATTTCGTAATGAGATTGTTATTTGAAATGAATAATAGGAATGCATTATATTCTACGAATAGATTTCATTATTTTCATTACATTATCTGTATGTTTCACCAATAAATAACTACAAATGATTCATTGTTTGTTTGATTAATGTAAAATGTAATAATTTGATAATTATTTCTAGAGGTTAAGCGTTCATGTGCGTAACCGATAGGCCCTGAGTTTAAATCCCATGAAGTGGGATCGTGGATACGCACTGTTAAGGATCCCCACAATAGGACGAAATGGCCTTCCAGTGCCTCCAGGTTTTCCATAGTGGTCTAGCTTCAATTGACTCATGAATTCAACTATTAAATTACTAAAATCTCCACAAAACCCCTCTCTGATTATAATAATCATATGCTCACTAGTGACTAGCTTCAAGGGGTATTTCCTGAAGTTTTAGTGAGAAGCAGTGACCACAGGAGTTCAACTGGATCTGTTGTGAGATAGTAACTCACTAAAGACAATGGTGGATGTGTCACTCAATTTCGTGGATTAGTTGCAGTTAGACATTAACATCGTTGGATGCCGGTTGGGTCAGAGGTCTAGTTTTTGAGCCCTCGCGCGCAAGACCGATAGGTCCTGGGTTGGAATCTCGCTAGGCGTGATTGTGAACGCGAACTTCTAATGAGTTCCACACTAGGACGAGACGGTCATCTGGTGCTTCCAGGTTTTCCATGGTGATTCAACTTCAATCGACTCATGAATTCAACTATAAAATTACGTATTTATTCATCATTCAATGTAATTTCTATATCTAGTAAAAAAATTAATCAATTACTTAAAGTTACATAATTCAACTTAAATTACAATCTGAGTGTATACAATATATGTGCATAAATTCGTTTTTATGAATGGACTAATCACATTCTAAACAGTTACTAACCAAACATCATAATGTAATATATGCAATCATAACAAAATTTATTTAGACATTCAGGAATGAATCAAAAGTCAATTGAGAAATCTTTTATTAACCAATGAATATAGAATCTCTTACCCCCCCCCCAAAAAAAATGTAACGATGAAATTAAAGAATAATCACATAGAAATAAAATGATTATTTCATGATTTGTTGATTTGATAAATTGTGGTAACTTATCGATCTAAACAAAGTTTAGTTGTAGTTATGAGTGAAAATTTACTATTTTCTTTCAATGTATTACCTTTAATCAAAATAATAAATGAAATTAAACTTGAATAATTTTTGTCGTTGATTGTAATTGTGATACGTAGTAACAGGTTAATCCACGAATAGATTTATTATATTAAGTGCTCATTTTTAAAGGTAAATATTAAATCAATATTTTTGTTCTGAAACTGTTGGTAATCGTTCATTTATAAGTTTAGAAGTTTAAGGTATCGTTACATAGGGGATTTGTTTGATATCAAGAATACATTGAGAAAGAGAGAAGATTGCTTAGTCCATGTCATTTCGTCTCTTTCTGATGTTAGTTAGTATTGATTCCGAGAAGATATCAATCTTTGACTAACCATTCATGTCTGAGTAAAGTATAGACACTCTATTCAATAGCTGCATGTTATATTATTTCTTAAGATTGATTCGAACCAGTTACTTTAAATAAATAAATAAATAAATAAATAAAAATAAATAAATAAATAAATATATATATATATATATATATATATATATATATATATATATATATATATATAACTGTTGGAATGTAGATTTCAATTCTTAACTGTACATAACGATATTTTGTCAGCCCTGAGTTCTGTAGTTGAAATGGATCTAAGATTAAGAAACACTGTACATTAGGATGAAGTGTTTATAAGTATTTCGCAAACATCTCAAACTCTACATATCCTGCTCATATTTTTATTTCGAAATCACGTATTTTAATTCCAAATTGTTAATTTATTCAATATTTACATTAACATTCCGCGCTGATCGAGTGCGAAAATGGACTATCAGTGATTACAAAATGTTCCGGATGTTGTTGAATTACATTGAAATCATGAACCGACCAGTGATAGATCATTTGTGAAAACCTGGAGACACTGGATGGTTGTTTTATCCTAGTATAGAACTCTTTAGCAGTGCTCATCCATGACTCCGCACGTGGAGCTTGAACCCGGGACGCTTAACCTGTAAACCACTGATCCAGCATCCAGCGGTGTTAATGTCTAACTTCAACCGATTCATGAATTCGACTGTTAAAATCACTACAGTCTCCACAAATCCCAATTCTGATTATATTTTACGATAAATTAGTTTGTATGAAATATTTGAATTTCAAGTCCGATATGTTTAAATAACAAAATGTTTTACAGGTAGAAAGCATTCAACGACTGAAATGTTCCCCAAAAGAGATTTATCTAATTTACGAAAGAATTTTATTTTATTCTTCAGCCTATCAAATCATTATTTGTTTTCAATTTATTAAAGAATAATATTGTATACTTATAAATTGCTTGAATAAAAGTGGAACTTGAAAATGAGTATTTTTTTATAAGTTCAGCTGTCGATCACAAATAATTAAAAGCAAAACATTTTTGTAAATGTAAAATGTATATTTAGGATAGAAAGCTTAGTGCTTTTATTACTGATCAGAAAATTTCTTGAGCTCATCATCATCATCATCATCATCATCATCATCATCATCATCATCATCATCATCATCATCATCATCATCATCATCATCATCATCATCATCATCATCATCATCATCATCATCATCATCATCATCATCATCATCATCATCATCATCATCATCATCATCATCATCATCATCATCATCATCATCATCATCATCATCATCATCATCATCATCATCATCATCATCATCATCATCATCATCATCATCATCATCATCATCATCATCATCATCATCATCATCATCATCATCATCATCATCATCATCATCATCATCATCATCATCATCATCATCATCATCATCATCATCATCATCATCATCATCATCATCATCATCATCATCATCATCATCATCATCATCATCATCATCATCATCATCATCATCATCATCATCATCATCATCATCATCATCATCATCATCATCATCATCATCATCATCATCATCATCATCATCATCATCATTTTGATCAGTCATCTATTACTTGTGGTGGGTATCTGACACGCACTGCAAGTTTGGATATATATATATATATATATATATATATATATATATATATATATATATATATATATATCATGTCATATCTGTCATGTTTGCTTAAATTAGTAATGTGAACACTTGGAAGTCAACGTGTCTAAGAATAAATACAGTAACCGAATAAGTTAAAATACAAAATTATTTTAAGTAACATTGATAAATACAGTTACATATTTGATAAACGTTTAAAAATCTAATTTCAATAGACTGAGTTTTCATTTTAAATAAATATTCTATCCACAACGTCTTGGATTTCTACCCTATATGTTCAATGTTGGAGAATTTCGAACTAGTGTAAAATCCAATAGCTTACTAGATAAAGTTTATTTGTAATGAAAGTTGCATAGAAACTATATCATACAAATGACAAACCGTTAAGTGATAACCTATTAATTATTCATCCATTCCTTTAGGTTCCGGACGTATTCCATCGATGAGAATGAAATTCGATCACAAGTATAAATGACTAGACATCGTGTTGAATTTTCTATTGGTTGTAGGTAGTTAATCAGGACTGAAATGATTAGACAAACATAACAATAGTTACTACCCAGTGATCAATCATTTTTAAGCATCTTAATCCCACAGGAGGTTCATTGAGCTCCAAGTAGCTCAGTACGAATGTCTGAAATTGTCAAGCTGAGTGATCCGGGTACATTTGCTTTAGGACTTTAAGTAACCTATTTTTATAAATACAAAATAGCCCGAAACATAGATGCTACGTTCATGCCACCTACTCCAACCAAACAATAATACAAAAATATCAGTTAATTATCTTTTTACATTTATTTTACCGAACTCTATTTTCCTATAGGTAAACGTTGTTCATTATGACAAATTTATCAACAATATCTTAGATCATGATTGCCTTTCTTGATCATATCCAACTGTTACATAATTTGTACAATGTAAGTATTTTCAAAAGACTGATAGTTTTCAGTTCTTAATGATTCAGTCACTAAACTTCTGTTAAAAGGCATAATGAAAAGTAAATCTTGATTACGCAATGCAAAAGTATTTATATGAACAATCTAATGATAATTGTATTTCAGTGTTTATTTACTTTGCTGTTACATAAATATTAATTCAGCTTATTCTAAGTTCCCATATTAAATTCTATACATAATCTACGAACGAGATTACATAATTAGAAGATTGTTTATTGTTGAAAACTTATTACTTGAAAGAGGAATCCTTTGGAGCGATGTGTCCACAGTTTATTAAATGCTCCTATATAGAACTAGTAATTGTTTTACATTCACCTTTTAAAAGCTAAGCCGGATAGTGTTCTGAGATGCGTTTGGAAAATGATCGCTTTGTGCGGCCTATGTAATGTGCCCCACATGAGCAAGTAAGTTTATAGATACACATTGATGTGGCCCAAAGCAGAAGTTTATCCTTAACACATCCAAGAATGGTAGGTCGCATAAACCGATCATTTTCCAAATGCATCTCAGAACACTATCGGGCTTGGCTTTTAAAAGGTGAATGTAAAACATTTACTTATTACTTGATTATATTATGAATTTTCTCGTTATTTAGCACTTAATATACTCAAAAACTAACTGGGAAATAGAAGTTTATTCGACACATTTAACAACAATACAAAATCTAAAATTGATTGATAACTTAATGGTCAGTACTGTCATATTTGTCTAATACTTTAATACTAATCAAATTTTATCGATTAATTTACAATAAAACCACTCGTGTGAATAACTTGATATCATATCCCTTTATGTCTAAATCATGAATTATTGGATTTAAGAAGCTTCTTGCTGGTTATCTTCAGTCATCTAACATAAACGGTCTTTTCTCATTGACTTGTTTACAATCGAAATTGTATACAATCAGTTAGATGATGTGATGTATTTGACAACAATGGTGATTAAGTAATTACTCAGAGAATATATTATTTTCAGCTCATGAATCAATCACATTTTTCATAATTAACCAGTACATATATTGACAAGCTTGTTGCTATGTCAACATTTACATAATTAAAAAGAAAAAGAACAAACTCAGAAATTCATATTTACGTAGTTATTTATTCATTATGCATAGATGATGTCAAATAAAACAAAAAAATATGTGAAATTGTTAATGATTATTGCCTATTCTTTATCAATTTTATTCATTCATATTTGAGTAGTAAGTTGTTCTATCTGTCATTACGTTACTTTGTGTACCTTTAGAAAAAAAAATTAAAAACAAAACAAAACAACGTCAACTGTTAATTTTAGTAAGTTACAAAATCAATAATTAAAGTAACTAATAACATTATATTTCACATTATGGATTTATATTGGGTAGGAAACCATTGAAAACTGAGAAACAATAGGTAAATGTTTCATTCTAATATAGAACTTCCCAACATTGTTCATATGTATATATACAACATCCATGGTCGAACCCATGACCTTTATTAATAATTTATGCGTGTATATATCTCGCCATTCAGAAAAAAACTTGTTTAATAGTCAATTGAGTTAATTTATTAAAGAGAAGCTAGAATGAGAATAAGTTTATCAATGACTAACTTGGTTGTGATACTGGAAATTCAAAAATTTAGGCGTTTTAATATGTTTGAAATTGTTCATTAATACACGTATATAACTATTCACGGAAGAATGTCATCAATGTTCATCATCATTGATGAATAACTATTTCACTAATTACTTAGTTAATTTCATGAATCCTAGTTTTCCTACTGTTATGGTGTGTGCTACTTATGTTGACTATAAGTAGTGTATGATGTTAGTCGTGAACAGAAGGTCTGGCATCAGAGAGACAAGAGGATCGAACAGTAAAGAATGGAAACAAAAAGCAATTTGTATGAAAATGCAAGAACAATGAAGTCGGAGTCATTATGAGACAAGTGATGGACATTTTGCAAATTACATATTTACTATTTGATTGTTAGATTTTACTAACAAGTCCTGTAATTTTGTGTTAAATACATTCGATTTTCCCCACTGATGTTCTTGTTCACTTCACTGTTACTCTGAGAAATTCATGTCAATGTCAGTTTTCAAATGTATTCCGTTTTAGCATTATATAATTTTACATGATAAAACTACAATACTGATTTGTACTAAATTCATGTCTTTTTTCTGACATAGAAAACTGAAGATATTTAAGTAAGACTACAATTTATGGACGAACCATTCAGATTTAGGATAACAGGTCTTGGATTTTAGGCGCGAAATTCACGCATTCATTTGGCTAAATATGAGTTTTGGCATTTTACCTGATGTCAGTTCGTGATGATAAACCTCAAATCTAATTCTTAACCTTAACCATCAACTGTGAATCATAATCCTTATTTTTCAAACTACTTTATAAACCCTCATTTAGCCCTAGTTAGTAGGTAGACACTCTCATGGTCACTTTGATGTCGCTCAAAGGTCGTCCATAAATTATAGTCTCACCGATACTTGTTTTCATTTAAAACTTAAAGTGTTACGAATTGAATTGATTGTTTTGAGAAATATTTTTCAAGTTTTCATGTGGAGCATTATAATTCAAGATCAGAGTCTATTTAAAACTGTTGAAATCACGTAGTAATACAGTTTGATCATTTCATTATACACAGTATTTTGATATAGTAGTTTAATTGATAAAGATTTGTATTTGTCATAAACAACTAGGTAGGTTTGTAATTATTGATAACATTTTTGAGATCAAAGAATCATTTTATCACTGAAGAATAATTTTGTTTACATCATCATAGATTTTGATCATGAGATAGTTTCATGTCATAACATCAGCTAACAAAACATACTACAGTTGAAATATTCTATTATCATGAAAGCAAGATTCGTGATTGTTATTTGCAAAGATAGGTGTACACTTTAAATTTTATTCATATCTATGAAATAGTGTATTACTACAGTGTTATATATGCATCTGTTAATAGTTATACTTGAAAACGAGGTATCACTACAATTTCCAAGACTCAAAAGTAAGAATAATGGAGACTGATACAAGTGAAGATTTATTTTACCTCCAAAACATGATGATCACTCTATTCAAATATGCACTCATACACATATTGATTTTTGCACCTATTAGATTATTGATTAGTAAAAAGTCACATATAGTAATTCATGGCAAAATCGTATGTTGTATTTCATGCCGAATATAATTAACGTTAATTTAATACAGGACTATCTTATCTTGAATGCCTACATCACACTGAAGTAAATCAATATTATGCTGAACAAAATAGCACACTGAAAATAAAGCAAATTCTACACCAAATGATCATCATATTGAATTGAAGAATGAAACTAATGTTGGACATGAATCATAATGAGTTAAAAATGTCATTTTGCTTTTTGATACCGTCGCATCACACAGAATCATTGGTTAGCATAACCTAAGGTGTGTTATTATTCGATCTAACGATTGTTTCCAGATTTTGTTGCACAGTAAAAAAGATACAATTCTTATGAAGATAAAGTTTTTATGTTAAAAAAGGATATAGTCACGTAGTGCTATGCATTGGCCAATCAGGTGACAATCAACCAGTCTAATATGGAGGTCCACAGTTAAAGCAATCTTTGAAATAACATTACAACTGTTCAGTCGTTATTTTATTTATTTATTTGTTGAGTTATCCATTGAACTGCATGTGGGTAAGTTAAATCTTTCTCACATGCCGAGTTCAATGAAAGTAATTATTTTCTTTATCTGTGCCTTATTTTACCACCTTGTTTAGATATATTTATCAGTAAGGGCTTTTGGAGATTGTTGAGCTTAGAATGATATCATGAATGAATCAATATTGAGTCACTATTGAAAACCTGGAAGCAGTGTTTGACGGTCGTTTCACCTTAGTATGAGACTTCCCACTAGTACACATCCATGATCCCGCACACGGGATTCTAATCCGTCTCATGTGCGAACGCCTAATCTCTAGACTACTGAGCCGATCGGCATCCAACGGTGTTAATCTCCAACTTCAACTAATCCACGATATTGCGCCACCGTCCTCTATTGTCTTCAGCCAGTAACTGCCTCACAACAGGCATGAATGAACTCCACTGGTCATGACTTCTCACTAGAAGTGCAAGAAATCCATGTTGAAGCCAGTCACTAGTGAGCACCTACTAATTATCAGCAAGGGATTGTGGAGATTGCTTAGCTTAGATTGATATCATGAATGTTGATCTAACATTGAACCATTCATAATACCAATCTAAGGTTAGATACATCTTTGATTTCTTTTTTATTATAATTAATATTTATACTTTCTTGTCTACTTTTAAATTATTTATATACACAAATTCTCGTCTAGCTACATAATAACTTCAAATTAAGTACTCTACTTGTTTAACAAAATGTTTTATCCTTGTTATTGTTAATATTATTATTATCTAACAGTTATATATAATATATAAAAATATTGAGCTAATGTAGTTGGATAACTGTTAGATAATAATGATGTGCCTCCAAAGGCCCTGGTACGACCGAGAGCGGGGAGAGTTCGTTCTCCCTCTTCAAGTGCTCTCACATGGCCACGCGTATAGAGCCTCTGCCAGGGAAGTCATACTCACTGCCTCCTCTCACCGGGGTGTTGTTTACGAAATTGAGAGGACGAAAAGCGAGTGTCTGGTGCTTTAACCGGGTTGGTGGATACGGAGAGTTAACGTAGGAGAGTTGGAAAACCCTGATTCCAAACCAATGGTGCACATGGACTCCAGTACCCTGAGGTAACAAATGGCGTATGAACCAATGATTGGTCACCGTCTACCATGGGACTGCATCTCCTTACGATGCTCCGCTGCCTTCTGGATCAGACCTTCAAGTTGAAGGCTCCAGGTGTGGCCCCCCTAAGAAAACCACCTGCTTCGGTTTGGGCATCCAGGCAGTATCACAGCCCTTACACAAATCTAATAAGTTTTGTGTGGTGCATATCTATCTGGTGCCCTCTTGTACCAGTATTTATGTGTTCAAATAAATAATATAAAAATGTAAACATGTTACTTATCATAAATGATAATATTACTTACTATCAACATATGCTGTAGTTTGAACATAAGTCTCTGTAACAGTATGTAATATATCTCTTGAATTATTTATATCTAATTTATAATCTAATAATTCACTTGCTTTTTCAATTTTACGTTGTTTACGTTGATATTTTAATGCTTCATTAGATCCATGTTCAATTAATTCATCTAAAAAATTATCAATATTTATTGCAGATATATTTCTATTTACATATTTTCTACATAATGGACATGTATTACGTATTTTAAACCAATAATATAAACATTCACGACAAAATTGATGACCACATGATAATAAACGAGTTCGAACTAATAGACCACGACATATAGAACATAGAAATGATTCTTTAATTAAATTATCTAATAATTGATTATTAGTTAATTGTATATCATCTAAATCAATAAAGGTGACATTTTTATAAGTTTCAATTTGATTAAATATTTCATTATGTTGAATTAATTTTTCATTAGATTGACATGTATATGATTGAGCATCAACTAAACAACTTGATAATATTTCATTCACTTGAGTTGAACGGTTTATAGATGATAATTTCATATTAATTGATGATTGTATCATCATAATAAAATAATAATAATAATAATAATAATAATAATAATAATGAAAATTTAATTAATTTAGTTTCTATGTTAGTTTTCTACATATTTATATACTGGGTAGAATAAATGTATCTATTTAGTTGTGGTCATATGATTTGAAATGTGACTTTATATTGATTTGGATATAAATGGAAAAGAAATGGTATGTGTTAGTGATTGTATTAGTAATAAGACTGCATAGATTATACTATATTTATTAATTCCTTAGAGCTTTTTAGAAAAAAGAACACTTGATATGAATAAAATGTACTTCGTGCTTAAATATATTTCAATAGGTGAGAGTATAGTTGTAGAAAAACTGTTTGAAATAATTAATTCTCTTTCATTGAAATTAACGTCGTATGTCATTTTGGTCAATAAGAATTATCTCTTGAAAACAATGGTTATTTTTACTTATTTACTTACGCCTGTTATTCCTTGTAGAGGAGCATCGGATACCTACAAGCATTCTCCATCTAATTTTGTCCTGAGAAATTCTTTTCAGATGTTAATCAACCTTTTCATGTCTGCTTCCGATTTTCGACGTAGTGTATTGTTCGGCCTTCCTGTTTTTCGTTTCCCTTTAGGATTACAAGTTAGGGCTTGCCCCGTGATTCAGTTTGATAGTTTCCGTCTCTTTCTAATCTCTTTTTCACCTAGAAGTTGATTTGTTTCCACATACAGTTGGATGTTGCTGATGATATCTGGTCAACTGAGATTTTAGTAATTTTTATAATTGAATTCATGAATTAATTGAATCTAGACCACCATGGAAAACCTGGAAGCACTGAACAGCCATTTTGTCGTAGTAGGGGATTCCTCAGCAATGCACATGCACGATTCCGCCACGCGAGATTCGTGGGACTCGTCTCATGAATTCAACTATTAGATTACTAAAATCTCCACAAAACCCCTCTTTAATTATAATCATTATGTACTCATTAGTGGGATTTCCTGCAGTTCTAGTGAGGAGCAGTAACCAGTAGAGTTTAACTAGGTCTGTTGTAAGATAGTAACTCACTGAAGACAATGGTAGACGTATCGCTCAATTTCGTGGATTAGTTGCAGTTAGACATTAACAATGTTGGATGCCAGTTGGCTCAGTGGTCTAAAGGTTAAGCGTTCACACACGAGACTGATAGGTCCTCGGTTCGAATCTCCTGAGGCGGGATCATGGATGGGCACTGCTGGGGAGTCCCACAATAGAACGAAACGGCCATCCAGTGCTTTCATGTTTTCCATGGTGGTCTGGCTTTAATTGACTAATGAATTCAACTATAGAATAACAACCGTTAGTTAAATGTGAATCATGTAAAAACTTCACGATGTGAAAATAAATGACTGAACGAATTATCTGTGTATGTATATGTAAGTTTGAGTCATTGGTAGTTGATATTAGTGTTAATAATATTTAATAGATGACAATTTTTATGGCTTAAAATTAATCTAGTCATTATCTTCATATTTGTATAAGTTTGTACTAATATATAGGCATGTATGAAACGCGTGTCTTGGATTCCATTACTAACCACCATCTTTGTATGAAATTCATTTAAGCTTTTTATCAACCACTATACTTGCAAAATATCATTGACATCTAGTGTTAATATTACATCCTAATGATCTTTCGTTTGATGTTAATTTCTCAGGAAGAACTCTCCATATATTATCATATTTATTCTTCATAACAATCATACTTATAATACTTAATTTATTTAATACCATTTATTTGATTACAACAGAGAATTCTCGGTATAGACCATTCAAAATCGTGAACAGAATTATCGTTTTATGTTTATTCAACTAGTAAATATTCAAAAGGCATTACAATAAACTGTTGCCATAGTGATTATGTGTTATTGATCTATATAAGTAAACTACTTCAATCTATTCTGGTCTTAAACTACTTCACTCATAACGTACGTTTGATATTTGAAATAATTTAAAAAAAGATACAAGTCTTCTTATATTGTTAAAATGTCGACTAGAAGGGGAAATACACAAAATACTGCGGTCTTTATACCTTTATGTTTTTAGGTATCAATCACTGAGAAAAATTGTTTCGTTTGTCATAAAAGCCTGTGAGCATATAATAAACTTAAGATATGTAATTAACAAATATAGGGGATTTTCGTAGACTGTTCAATTTTCATAGCTTACATCACTGACTGATTTTAGACAACCATTGTTAACCAGGAAACATTGAACAGTTATTTCGTTCTAGTATGAGATTACTCGGTAGTGTGTATCTACGACCACAACGGTTCAATAGTCTAGAAGTTGAGCGTTTATTTTGAAACCGAAAGCCCTTTGTTCGAACATACACCATTGGAGTATTCTAAAACAGGACAAAACAAATGTCTACAATTTACCAGTTTTCTAATAGCTGTCTCATTAATATCAGTTTATGATATAAACTATAACATAACTGATAGTTGGTTAGTTCTAAAATTGAAGTACAATTCTCGCAGTTAGAAAATAAATTATACAGAGTCTTGAATAGACCATCGAAATTCATTGTATTCCAAAGATCTAAGTTCTAAGCATTATTTATAATTGAACATTTTATTAGGTTTAGCGTTACTCAACTCTTATTCGTATTATTTCAAACTGATTCAGTTATATAATTAAAAAATGACATTATTATTTCTTTTTTAAATTACGTAACTACTTTCTCACTATCTTGACGAAGTCAGAAACGAAGAATATGATCTACCACAAAGTGTATTTAAAAGAATAACAAACAAACAAACAAACAAGCACAGTTTACACCTAAAATAGAAATTCATTGATACATTCATATAGTTGAATACCAAGGTAGGTAGGAAAAAATATTTGTTTTCGAAATATTTTTTTCTAACAAATCATTGTATTAAGTGTGACAACTGTATTTTCTTTTGTCAGTGGTCACTGTCACTTGGTTTACTGTGACACACGCAGTTTTTTTCCTGGTAACTTAATCTATCATTGTAATATTGTGAAAACAATATTTTGGCTGTTAAATTACATCACATGTCACAACTAACTATTTCACGTAATAGTAATAATAATAATAATGTGTTAACATTATTATGTGGATTTACTACTATAATCAATGTAGTTATCGTTTTTAGCTTATAAAAAGAACACAAGAACAAGATGATAGTGGGATCTTATTATTTCAAATCAGCATGAACATTTATAAAGCATGTTTCTAGGAATGTACTGACTGTAAAAGTAGATGATATTGATGCAAAATAAATTAAAGTAACTGTTATAAGAGAATTGACACACAAAAAAAACATTGGTGGAGTTAGCTAGTTGTAGTATTGCAATGGACTCTACTCATAGGATCGCTTATAAGTAGTATACAGTAGAGCGTTGTATATGAGTTGTTACAGTCAACAGCTGGAGACAGGTGTCTCAAGAAGCCAGCCAAAACACAGTGAAGTTCCGAATACTTATGAGGCTAGAAGAAAAGCTATAGAAGGCAGTCTACAACTAGCTTAAGCTGCAAAATACACAATAGATGAAAATGAAAGATTGAAGACTAAGTGTATATAATTAATAAATAATATGTGTTTCCCTTCCAATTTAATTTGATTATTCCGTCTGGTCTTGGCTTGTTCGAACACTACGGTATCATTATATCAGATTAACCGCAGTTTATATATTGAAATAGAATCAGCATTAGGGGATCATAATTTGCGATATTTAGCAAATAAATAATTTCACGGATTGAAAACATGAGTCAATTGAAGCTAGACCATCATGGAAAACCTGGAAGCACTGAACGGCCGTTTCATCGAAGATGAGCTCATCAAGTTAACTAATACAAACTCAATAATCTCAACAATTCCCTTACATTAACATACATTTATCTTTTCTTTTTTAATTGTCCAGTTGCATCATACGTTGATAATGTAACATTTACAAACGGAATTAGATATAGACAATTGATTTAGAATGTATTCGTTATGAAAAAAAGAAAACACACACACACAAACTCAACTGTATAGTAACATGTGACAGTGTGTAAAATAAGAAAAATGTAGAAAAAAATTAGAATATTCGTATACAAAAAAATGTTAATTGCTTTCATTCATAATAAACATTCAATCATGAATCTTCTGAAGTTAACCATTGATCAATGAAAGTTATTTTCTTTTATATCTAACTACAAAAAAGCAGTTTTTTTGTTATTGAAAAAACAACATTTTTTTGTATTTCACGTAAGTGTACTTCAGTAGTTTTGTGTTGTTGATGAGGTGTGTAATTGAGTTGTTATGCGAAAATCTTAAGTCATATTCTCAATCCTATCATATATATATAATATTATGAAGATATAACTCAATGACTTATGTATTTGTGTAACAGAATTTTCAATGAAGAATGAAGATAAATTATATACAATATTTTATATTACAATCATATTTATAATTAATTATTTTAATTATTGGTTAAACAAAACTGATTATGATAATGAGAATATGATTGTTATAATTTAAAAGTTAAAATTTAGTGATTACTTACTTACATAGTAACGCCTGTTAGCCCCAATGGAGCATAGTCCGCCAATAAGCATTCTCCAACTCAATCTGTCTTGGGCCTTCATTTCTAGTTCTATCCAATTGTTCACTTGGTATTGTTTGGATTGTATCTTCCCATTGAGGTTTAAGACTGCAGTTGGTCAGTCTTTTATTAACAATTGTGCATGCTGTGCGTATGCCTCGATATCGCACTAATTCACAAGCTATTTGTAAGTAATGATGGATAGTGGCCAGCAGTGGAATCCGGTTTGATGTGCGTTTCGTCCTATTTGGGACTCGTCAGCTGGATGTACCTACATCCTAGAGTTGATGTCCACTCTTGGACGAGTCCCACATAGGACGAGACGCACTGCTAGCCACTATCCATCATTGCTTACTATCCAGTGGTTGTTTATGCTTGTCACGTCTGTCTCCATCTCTCAGCGTAATGTGTTCTTTGTTCTTTTCTCTTCTCTTTCGGCCTTCAGGATTCCAAGTAAGGATTTGTCTTGTAACGCAGTTGAGTGCTTTCCTCAATGTATGTCCTATACACTTCTAGTGCTTCTTCCTGTTTTCTTCTTCCACTGGGATCTGATTTGTTCTCTCCCACAGTAGGTTGTTGCTGATAGTGTTTGGACAACGGAGTTAAATTAAATATTTAATGATACATTAATGAATTTATAACAATCCAACTAATGATAATATCAGGGTTGTTGAAATGTTATCAAAAAAGGTGAAATTTAACTCTTGATTTGTTGGAATACAATGGACAGTTCAACGATTCGAAATTCTCAGATGAGTGAGCTCTATTGTACCATGAACACCAACAAATCCTGATGAGGATAACTAATGTAGCAGCAGCCTGTGCATCAGTAGGTTTCAACATACATAAGAGATGAAGAAAGATTCTTAAATTCAAGATGGATAACACCAATCGAATCACACTTGATGGAGAAACTCTGAAAGAGGTGGAAAGTTCTAGATAACTGGGCAACATAATCGATAAACAAGAGCAATCTTATAAAGACCTAAATACAAGTGCTGGAAAGCCGACACAGTATTCCTACAAATGAAGAACATATAGAAATTAGAACAACTATCAGTCAACATGAAAGTCACAATCTTTAATACGAATGTCAAGACAATTCTACTGTATGGAACTGAAATTCCGAGAACTACTACAAACAACATCACAAGTTACAAGTATTTATGAACAATTGTCTACGCAAGATACTCAATGTCCATTGACTGGATAGCATCAGTAACAGTTTATTGTGAGAGAGAAGAAACTAGCTTTCAATTGAAGAGGAAATTAGGAAAAGACGTTGGAAGTGGATATGACATACATTGAGAAAATCACTTAACTGCATCACAATGCAATCACTAAATTGAAATCTTGAATGGAAAAGGGAAAGAGGAGGACTAAGTACATATTTTGTCAGGAATTGGGAGAAGATATGGAAAGAATAAATAGCAACTGGAAAAAATTGCAAAGAATTGTTTAGGCTGGTCTAGGTTCCTCCACGTGGAGTAACATGGGTAAGTAAGTTATTCATAAAAATAATAGTTTGTTAAAGTTGATAAGTAAAAGACAAGAAGTGAACAAGGTAGAATTAATCTCATATTGACTACGTTGAGATAATAAAAACAATCAGTCAGAATAAAGATAAGGATTGTTGAACTGAAGTTTAAATTTTATAACAAACTAACAGATATTGGATAACATGTGTTTGACTAAATTCCATATTTTGAATTGTTTGGATGATAACATAATCGTTGATCATTTACGGAACCTTGAACTATTGAGAAACAGCATTCGATATAACTACGGGGGGCGGGAGGGTGAATAACGTACAGAAAAGGTACAGTATTCAGAGAGTAGGTTGTTTTACGAAGCATTATATGTTATGAAAAAAGGTCTATCAGAAATAAGGCGTTATTTTTTACAAGATTAAAGCTAAAATATCAACAGATTCTGATAAATGAATGAACTTTTTTGTATCTTAATCCTTTGCTCAACTTGCATTCTAATAGCTAATGTATTAAGACTAGAATGTTAGGAACCGATCGTAACACTAAAATTCTATATGCGTTGTAACTATTGTATTTTAGCAAAATACTATTCACTTGAGAGATCTGCACTCAGATGGACTAGCATCTTTTCCATCGATCACTCGGCCACTCTTCTAATCTTTTTAGTATGAGATTTTCGTAGAGTATCTTAAAGTCCTGGATTTTGACCTCCATTAGTGCTGTACATTCTCACTATTATTAAGGTGTCTCATACTAGGACAAAACATTTGTCTAATGCTTTCTGGCTTCTAGTGGCTGTCATAATCTCAGTGAAATAGTTTTGGTTGCTAAATAGTTTCGTATTATTTCGACAACCTTTAACCATCTAATATCTATACTTACTATATCCAATGTCAAGTAAACTAAACTACTAACAAAAGTGTAACAAAATTTACTTCCCAAATTTTAGTATTAATGATTATTCAGCTTTAATAAAATGATTTATAGTTAATATACTTTCATATTAAGTTAACTAATTTGTCTAATTATGTAATTTCATTTGGACTTTAATAATTATGATTTAGGAATGATATGAATATTGGAAAAAAAAGAACAGAAGACCTATGAAAATTCTAAATTCACTTGGTATTATTTACTTGAATCTTCCCATTGATGCTTTTAGGACTGCAATTGATCAGTCTTTTATTGGCAATATGTACATACTGTGAGTAGTGCCTCGATGTAGCCTTAATTCAAAAGCATTATAAGCATTGATGGATAGTGGTTAGCAGTGGAATCCAGTTTGATGCACGTTTCGTCCTATTCTAGGACCTACATCTTAGAGTTGATGTTCACTCTTGAACTCAAACCCATTACCACTCACTTCAAACGCCATCGAATTATCCACTTAGCTATTGAGTCCTAATAGCCACTTGCTTGTGCTTGTGTACCTGAAATGCAAGTACATTCAGCTGACGAGTCCCAAATAGGACGAAACACGCGTCTTGGATCTCACTGCTAGTTATTATCCATTTTTGCTTATAAAAATTCAAGTTGTGTAATATGATTGATGGTTTTAGGTTAATTTCAACTAAAATGTACTTTGAACAACCTGTTTTCTATGTTTTGAATTATGTGAATTGTTTTAATCGTTATTATTGTTCTATGAAAATAAACTTTGTTATTTTCAGTTATAAGTTACTATAAAACATTATACTTTATGAGTGTTTTCGTATAAGATAAAGATTAAGATTCGGTCTTTTTTTATTACTTTAAATCAACTATTGAAATATGCATCATCATTTATCTCTAGTTCTTTTTATTCTATTAACCATAGTGAGTATTAAACAAACCAATGGAATACCAAGTAAGTTAGTAAGTTATCTTTTGTATAATCAAGAGATACTTTTAAAAAAACTTTAAGTATTCATTCGTGTGTTGTTTATTTGAATCTTCTCATGAATGTTTGGAACTGAAATTGATCAATCTTTTATTGGGATATATGTACATCATTTGTGGATTGCCTTGATACTCTTTTAAGTCATAGGAATTATAAACAAAGATGGATAGTGAATTCACCTAACAAGTCTCAAATAGGATGAAACGTGTGTCTCAGATTTCAATGCTAGATGCCATCTAAATTTGCTTTGTTTAAGAAGTTCAAATATGTTTTTCATGTGAAATGTTTGAATTCATGCAAATTTTAGTTACTGATAGCATTCAAACAAAATTTTTATGTATAATATCTTCTATTCAATCGGTATTCAGTTTATTTCAAACCTTACAACAAGTTGAAATTGTCATTTTAAGAATGTTGATTTTCATTTTGAATAAACGAGTCGAACTAAGCATTACATACACTGATTGGTAAATGAGTAGTAAATAGTGTCATATTTATTTAGCCTTTTAGTGTTGATCAAATTCTGTCGATCAAACCTAAGTGACTCGATAATCAGGCATACTATGTTTTGATGTTAGATGATTAACAGTGGTCGGATTATAAAGGTGAGCAATATCACATAGGTTATCGTTTCCATAAAGTTGGCAGGTGTACCTTGCTGATTTGTACCAGGGTATATTATGTACTACTCAAAATCATCTGACATTATGTCCGTAGTTGCTGGGGTAACCCAGAAAATTTCTCTTAAAGGTCAAGCAAGGATCAGGAAAACACTAAGAAGCGTTTCCTCCAATCAGCGTCCACTTGAAGTTTTGGCCAGAAATATCAAGGGGGCGAAACGTCACATGCAGAGGGTCTGATTGGCTGATTGCTACTCTGCTACTTTGTTTAGTAGCATTCCAGAATCTTCTAGCGACCCAAGGACATTTTAAATATTGTAAAAACCCTGCATTTTCTGTATTGAAATGAACCTTGGAGTAAAGTACTTCTCGCATGCTTTGCATCTTCTCTCTTGTTGTTCAGGTCTCTGTATAGTTCTAGCTTGGGGGTTACAGAATAGCTTAGGAAACGAATATAGCGTTCAGTTCGCAAGACTTATCAGTAGTCTTTCAAGTTTGGCCAATTTCGTTTATTGCAAAGTATGCTATGTAAAAGCAGACAATCACATCAGCTGTCACAGGTCCTACTGCAGTGAACTAAAACTCAGTACAATACATTTATAAAACGTGAAAATCATATTTAATACATCATTTGCATATCTTCCTTCACTTGTCCTTCACATTCCATCATTCTTCCAATCCTTTCGTTATACTGATCGCTATCTGGTTTCGTTCCTGTTCTCTTTATTTCACTCTTCTGCTGTTGAGCATTCCACTCCCTATTTCAGGCGGAGATACTCCTGCTACACATTGCTTATATCTATCCATATAGGAAGAGAAAATCACACTACTATTATGTTGTTTGATAATGAAAAATACATTAAAAAGAGAAGAAAGCTGATTTTTCTTAGTAATTTATAGCACTTAGTAGATTAACTTTAACATTTATGGAATGAAACACAAACGTTTGTATTCATATACATGTATATAATTTATTGCTTAACTTACTAGTCGTTTGAATGGTATCGATACTTCCAAAGTGTCGTTAAGGCTAGCTCATAAAGTCTAGACCAATAAATAACAATTTAATAGTTCAGTTCATGGGCCAGTCTAAGCCAAACCACCATGGAAAACCTGGAAGCACTGTATGGTAGTTTCGTCCCAGTATGCGACTCCTCAGCAGTGCGCATACACGATCTCGCTCGTGGGACTCGAGCGCAGGGCCTATCGGTATTGCGCGCGAACGCTTAACCTTTTGACCATTGAGCCGACCGGCATCCAACGATGTTAATGTCCAACTTCAACCAATTCACGAATAAATAACAAGTGAATATTATTCCATTTCATCAATAACAGGATGTTCAAAGTTATTACTTTATTGACTGAAGATTCTCACACTACAATAAATTTACTAAAATCATCAAAAGCTATTTTGAAACTTTAAAAGTGATTCATTTTGTAGTCATCCGGCTAAATGAAAAGTTGACCGGTTAAAGTGACAATTGTCAAGTAATATGGTGTCAAAATTACTCGTAAATCATAGAGTTATGTGCATAATACATGTAAGTAATTTCCCGTTATAATATGACAAAACAATGTCATATATATTTTCAGAATGATAAGTCTTGGTTCTTTTTACCCCCCGGTTGCCACTGACATGTTTTCTCAAATTTTTTCAAAAATCAACTAGCGTCGTTGTCGTCGTGTTTTGGGGTTAATAAATCTTCATTTATATCTGTTTCTGTGTTCTTAATTTCGCGTCGTATGAATTGTGGAGGTCCCTTATTTCGAGTATAAGTGATAATCGATTCTTAAATAACAATCAGCGACAACCAGATATAACGAGTAGTGTTCAGTCGGCAAGACAAATTACATCATATTCATAGTTGAGTTTCCACTGTTTGATTATTGCAATGAGTAGTATACATATAATACATTTTCCTATTTGTGAATAATGTTTATTTCTGATATTGTGATATTCAGGATCTCTACCTAATTTAAATATTATAAACTATTCAATTCAGAAGATTATCTGTCAATGTAAACTATGAAAACATGTCCAGTAAAGTTTTTTTTTTTTGTATTTCATCATAATAGTATAGTTGCTACTTAAACGTTTATTGTATTTTATCATTGTAGGTGTTTATTCAGTTTGTGCAAATTTAACCCAAAGGTGTGAACCACTTTATCCATGTTGTTCACCAAATCTTTGTCAAGTAATAAGTTCTGGAATTGGTACGTGTGTAAAATGTTTTGAACCAGAAGTTGATTGTCAATATAATCATGAATGTTGTAGTGGTCTCTGTTATAAACATTCTTGTACATTTTTATCACCAAACTAGCTTATGTTACATACATGTCGTATCATATCGTTTACAATAAAAAAGATATAATGATTTAAAATGTTCTCCAATTGTTTGATTACTTTCGACATAACTATAATGACTGGTTAATAGTTTTCTGATATAAAAGAATAATTGCACATTAATTAATTTTATGTTGTAAATAGTCGTTTATATTCAACTTGTACTGTATGCAATAATTCCGACATAATTATTAGATTCAGTTCGGTATCATTTACTAGTACCATTTATTAATGAGAAAACTTAGAGTTCATAGACCACAAAGTATATTATTTCATAAATCAACAGTCATGCCATTCAAGTACTTCAAATCTGGTATAATCGATAGGATACTTTATAATCATATACTTAACGTTTCTACAATAAAATGTACTTCTGAAACTTTAGAGTAACCAATCATTGGATGATGAACTGAACATATAATATATTCACAGTTACATTAAAATTCTAATTATGATTCGCATCACAATTAATCATATCCATACTCATAAAAAATTTCTGTGCTAACGACTGGATAATATATAATATTTACACCATCAAACAATCCGTAATTCTGTGAAGGTACTTCGGCGAACTAAGTCAATAATTAGTATTGATTGACTGAAAATTATGACGAATCTAAGCAGTGATTAGATTGTCAAAACAACAAATACAAGGCGTTTCGTGACTTATTGTAAGTGACTTCTTCAGAAGTGACTTATACTGAGTCACGAAACGTCAGAGAATTGAATTTTCTACTCATTTGGGATATTACAACTATATTAATTTATTTATAGCAATCTATCCGGTGCTCAATTTATCTGAAATGATCAAGTCAGACCTTGGTAATGATACCTACAAAGGAAACCTGTTCAATAGGCTACAGAATGCCACTCGGTTGTTGAATTGAAACCTCACATTTTTCAAAAGAATGATTAGAGTAATTTGTCTGAGAAATATATAAATTAATGAGGATAAATGAAGTTGTAAAATGTAATGAACAAAAGAAATTTAATGACAAAAATTAGTGTATTAACTATTTCATTAAGCAGAAGATCAGGTTCGACATAGAAATAACAGGTAATAACGGATGGGATAAATGGTTTTCTAGAAACATGATATCAGCTTTTACAATATAGAAATTTTGTAAATGATTTGATAAAACTTGAACTAGTCATGGATAATAGTCTGTTATAAAACCGGAAAGAAGATGAAGTTCATAGATGTCAACTAATTTCACGTACTCTCCAGCTGATGTGCAATCATATAACCAATTAGACAATTGCTCAACGATAACACTGAATGATCTCTGTGATATTTTGGCAAATGACTAAAACTAGAGATGCTTACTGTCGAACTCGAACTCATTGGATCTATGGAAACGCAGTTATTATAGATCAAAAACATTTCAGTTTTGAGAAAAGAGTCATAAGGTTTTATGAATTAAATGAATTTATTCTATCCGAAGGATTTGCATCATCTACAAATAGCATTGAGTTAGAAAGAGTTATATGACTATTTAGTGTAAGATCCTAGAACACAAACAATGAATATATTACAGCTACCATTCATAGAATTAATAATCTATCACTTTAATTCTGAATCTAAATGGATGATAATCGTTCTACAATCCCATATAAGTAACGTTTCATTACAACAAGTCACAAAATATAGATTTCACATTAAATTGTTATCATTGTAGCTTTGATCTACTATCTACGAAACACAAGTCACTCCGTCTTTAATCAAATCGCACACAAGGTGTTTACGTAGTTTGAGGAAAAGACTTAAACGTGGTAGGAATGCTCATTAAATAAAATGGTTGTGTATACGAAATGCTTAGAAACAAAACAGATTTTTCACTGTTCTGTTGTCATAGATAAAGAAAAATTTTAAAACGTTGGTTTGTGATATTTTGCAGTTAAGATTTCAATTTCTAAACAATATACAACGTGATATGGTAGGTCAGTCAGACATCAGTCAATTGAAAACTCACTTGACTGGCATGACATTGCTTCCTCTACCAACGAAAGAGACATAGATCATCGGCAAAAAATTTGGCCTCAACTTTTCAGGAAATAAACCATTTATACGTATGAGTGAGTGTACAGCCGCTTCTCGATTTGGTCGGTTATCAAATCGTTTTCCTCTCACCTACTCTTTCAATCTCTATCTCGTTTCCGGTGTTCATACTAAGTAGCTGGTTGGTTTTGTGAACGGGAAGCTCGCATATCATTATCACATTTCTACACCGCACTACAAAATATACCCTGAAAGGAAAGCTCTCCCTGATGTAATGTTCTGAGAATAGGTATTTTTCTAGTAACAGGTTGATGAATATTAGGAAGTATCCATTCATACCAAATCTGCTCTCTTTTGCATAGAGTTGACATAGCTTTGAAAACACTTTTATGATATTAACGGTTTCCCTGCAGTTCACAGAAAATATAACCGATGTTAACTGAACCTAGAACCATAAATTTTCTCTTCAGTTATTCATCAAATACAATTATAATGATATATTTTCTTGAATTTCAAAATCATAAATTACCAACCGACTACCTGAATAATTATTGTATGAATCTAAGCTGTTAATGTCGACAAAGTAACAATGGAAAATCCTTAGAAACTTGTCTATGCAGTAGTAGGTATTTATGATGTAACAAAAATATGAGTTCCACCAACTCTTCGATTCACAGAAGTATGACTTAGTAAAATAATCAAAACGTTTAAGTTGCTTTGAACTGTCAACAATATTTTCATGCCATTGGCTCAATTTTATGTATTAAGTTATACTACTTATTGTTATTATTCAGTAGTTTATGTACCGTCAGTAAGTTTTGTAAGTTTTCATGTTAGATGTTTGTTGCCTGTAATGAACTATTGATCATAAATCGTTGCATTTTTATTCAGTTTTTGATTCTAGCCTGTTGCGTGAGATAGAGTTTTTCTTCCCTTCTTAATAACCAGATTGTAGTGATCTCGAAACTCCATTGAGCATCTCAAACCATTGAATGAAGTTCAGACTCAACCAGTTGTCCTACTAAGAAAGGATAAGTAGACATAATAAGAAATATAGAGAAGCACACATCATTGTCTGTAGGGGTTTGAACTATGTCTCTACATATGTATATTCAGGAACGAATTCTGATCACTATCCGTTAAGATACGTGCATCCTGTGAGGACTACTTCGAAATAACCATTATTTCACAATTTTTTGGGAATAGATGGATAGTGAATAACAGAGAAATTCAAAATACTTCCTTCGTACATTCTGGGACTCGTAAGTTTCATGGGATAAAATTCTAACAATAAAAACATAGTACGTGTTAAAACAGTCAGCGGCTATCTGGACTCAATATCACAGTGGATAACTTGTTAAGTAATTCAAGAGGAATGTAATGATTTCGATTGTCAGTGCAAACATCAAAACAGGAATGCAGCTACACCAGACTAATGAGTTATAATTAAACAAACATGTGTTCTGGGTTCCACTCTGGGCAACAGTTCACTATTTCTGGTTGTAAGATAACAAATATTGGATGGGATATATGTAAGAATAGATATGGTCATCTGAGATTATTATTTTTATCTAATTGTGGTCAACAATTTAAATGAAAACCGTGTTTATTCCAAATAGCTGATTTCAACAAACATTTTGACCGTACTATGCAAGTTTTTTAGACACTAGGACTGCATTCAGTTTTCAAGAGGTTACTTTAAAAATTCTCATCGAAACCATTTTATGTGTTAAGTTACACAATAGTCATTCTAAAAATAATACAAAGGTAACGTTCTCACAATTCTGCTATTTAATTACATACATCCAAATCCGAATTTCTGGAACTGTTTGACTGAAGAACTTGGACCTGCTGAAACACTTGCTCATCACGATACCTTGAGAAAATTTCTATGATTCGGACATTTTATCCTACCTTAAAGGTACAGGGACCACTACAATTACTCAAACGTAATTCTATATTTAATCCATCTTTAGTACTGTAGCGCAATGTACGTTCGTCACCATTGGAATTTATCCATGGTCCATCAATAATATCTGATTGAAGTGATCATTGATAATGCATTATCGCTATAGCCTACTGAAGACTTTACCAGGTGCAATATACTATTTGGTTTCATCGTTAGTGCTTCCGCATAGCTCACCATTGTTACTACGCTGAATGTCGGCATTTTATAACTGTTAGAAATAATAGTCATCAATTTAGCATGGTAGTGGGTGCTGTCATTGAATGATTAGCAAAAAAATTTCAAGCCCAATGTACTAGATAAGTATATAACCGTAAAGAAAACGTAAGAAGTATATTGGCCACTGTCATTTGATATTGATAGTAAAATGGTCTGGTCCCGAGCCCGGATAAAGGAGGAGGGTTGGGCATGAGATCAGCGACCCAATTCCGTAGAAAACTAACTCGATCAAAAGACTAACCAGTAAAATGGTTAACTAAACTTAAAGTTGTTCTCTGAGTATTTTTGCATTTGAGACGTTCTTATATAGGATGGAGAAGAATATAAATATCTGGTACTGAAGATGCAACAGTTTGAACGAAAGGAACATATGGTCTCCGCCACCATAAAAGAGCTTGCTACAAGGTTCTATATAATTGTATTTCCTGACTCCATTCATTGCCTTTTTGAGAACTGAGATGTATCAATGAAAAAAGGTTAAAGTTGATAGAGAAGATTCACGAAAGATCACATTTTCATACAGTTGTGTTTCAATAGTTGATCTCGTTTCATTTAAGAATCATGTAGTTTTTGTTGATCTTCTTTCCTATTCTTTATTTCCTGGTCAGCTACTTAATATTATGGAGTAGTTTAATTATTTCAAGTTAATAATGGTAATGATGGTTGAATGTACAAAATTACACACTGATACTTAGTAAACTTCCTAATGACTAGAATTCTGAGTAGAACAGAAAATGACTTCAAGTCAACTGATCAATACACTTTTGGAAACTCATGAATTTATGAGTGGATAGTAGTGATCTTACTACATTGAATTACATGAGGTCAAATAAAACATCGTCTTACCGAAATATAACCGATGTAGAGAACATGTATCATATTAACACTAGAGGCAAATTTTCCTCCTCTGCTTTCAATCTCGATTCATAATGGAAGTGAACCTGTCAGTATCTACATAATCTCCAGAAATGTAAACGCTCCTTGAAAATAATTTGTTTCTAAATTTTCTTATCATTTTCGATGATTATTTGTCATGAATATGTTAACAAGTCTCCTCAGGAGTTTGTGTTCTGCTTGTGAAGTAAACGACATTTTATCCATAAAATGATAAAACATTTATCATATATATATGTAACTAATCATAAGTGAGTAATAATTGTTATGAATTCAATCAATTTTAAAAGAATGATATGGCTTGACATATTTGCCAATAATAAGTAAGTACCACCGCTACTTCAGGTATGTCAGTCATGATTTTTATGATAATATTATAAAAGTGGCATACGGGCTTTTTCTTCGAATCGAATAACGTTTATATACATCAGTTGCTAGTGGACACATTCTCAATATCATGATTCGTTTTTTTAATAGAACAAGCAATGTTTCTTTTCTAATATGGTATAAATCAATATTAAACTTCATCATGATCAAAAGGGGTACACAAAATTTTTAAATAATTAGGTTTTTGGATTATTCAAATTTACTGTATGGTAACAGTCACATGATTGAACGATATGTTATACAAGAAGTTTGTCAGATTATACTTTAGTTATTGTCTGAATCTTTTGTAAATTGTAATTCCGAAAACAGTGGCTACTACCTACATATAAGATGAATAAAACTCTGTTTCAGTAGTTCTGAAAACAATTTATTATATGCTTATCTAGGACTTAATTTAAAGTTCACTTTCACATAACTTCTTAATTCTCTAAGCCTTGTGAAATTGGATTCACTGTTAATTTCTACCCCCTAGATCTTTTCCCTTATTTCAGTTATTCATATATTCACTTATAAGCAGATTGTCTCTTGGTTATCGAATTTCCGGTGATACTAGCATATCATTGTCTTAATACATTTATTTTAAAAACAACGCTGAGATTGCCTGAATGTGTGTATAAAACAAAGCTAACATTTTCCACAGCTTACTGTTCTCCATAATTTAAAATGACTACACAGCTTATAATGCTGCTGCGACTCTCATCTACTTCTATAAATGGTACACCCTGTCATCGTTTCCATGTCAATTTCTTAATCACCTGGAGTTAATGTAAACAGCCTTTTGTCGTATCGTTTAAGTTACATCTGATAAAGAAATCTGCTACATATCTAAATTATAAGCCAATTATTCAAGTGTCCTTTTAACTAAGACCGAATACTGTATAACAGTTAAGGGTCCCCTAATAACTGTTCTGTATCTTGTTAATGAAACAAGGAAGTTAATTCATGTTTTTGAGGACAACACATTTCTTATAAGCCAGACTTCTTTCATGTACCAATTACCAGCTGGACAATCACGTCTGATAATAATGAGATAATGTCATTAAAGTTAACACTTTAACGAGTGATCCTATTTCGAATGAATAGATTTTGTATCGTTCTGATTATAATATAATATCATCGGTACAAATGGAGACTGTAATCAACCAGCAAGATCGAGGGATGTTAAACAGATTCATATTGTAGAATATGATTTGACAAAATAACATGAAATGATAAAATATATGAACTAGTGAATAAATAGATCAACGATTAAAATTTCGATAGTTATTCCACAATCAACAACTGTCAATTATGTTACCGAATAACATTACCTACCTACAGAAACAAATTTGACAAAACACTTGTGTACAGTAGATATATGTTAAATAATGTAGGAAATATAGCTATATATGGATGTAAGTAAAGGCTATGACCATTCTGTAAAGGATATTCATGAAATAGGTGTAAAACAAAACCTATCAGCTAACTAATCTTTGTAATATTATATCAAAGAGAAATGATGAAACCAGATGTCGCGAATGACTACCAATCCAACAGGATATTTATATTGATCCACTCAGGAACGTCGGATGAATTCCTCCAAAGTATAATGGCAACAAAACTTTTAGAATATAATTAACCAAATTCCCTTTTACTTTAAAGAAGAAGAGTTTGAGAAACAGTTGACCATAGGAACATAACAATTCTGAAAAGAAACCTCCACTATCATATTGACACCATTACTAGATTTTATGTGTAAGTTCTTTGGATCATGCTTCAGAAATAAATAAGAATAATAAAAGAATGGAGTCGACAGCACTTAATCAACAGTAGTCACGAATCACGGAACTCCAAGTCCCCCAAGATAAATGATAAAGAACGAATAAAGAATTTCTGTATCCAAATTAATCCCGTATATACGGAGGACAGTAATGTGAACCTCTTCTTGCTCTGATAACTATTATTGTTATAAAACAGTTTTATTCATTGTGAGACCTCAGTTTTTGATGATTTGAGCATTGAGACGATAGTTAGTTTCGATTTAGATTCTGAACACTATTTTCACCACAGACGATAACTGGACAAAACCGTCCAAATCTATATCTGCAATATCTAATTTATTTACAAGATACCACCATTTATCTTTGAAGTTCTCATCAATGCAACTGATGTTGTAATGCATAACAATAGAAGGTTGTACAAAATGTCCAGATAATTATAAATTCTCAGAAAAAGTCATGTAAATTCAGATTTATCAAGATATAAAAGATCAAGTATCTTTGCAAACAATCTTGTATTTGTTCTGTTTAACAATTTTAGATGTAAATATTTTTACAGAGTATGTATTTATGAAGTGATCTCATTTTGTTGGGTTTCTGTAGTATTCACAATATCTGTAGTAGTATTACTATATTTTTCTTGACAGTGAAAAAACCAACATCTTCCGCTACAACAGTCCGAGCTCCAAATACATAATTTATTTGTACCAAGACATTGAACACATATTCCATTGAAGAACCCATGACAAACTAATTTGTCACAACAGTGACGAAAGAAAATCCGACTGCAAGAATCATTAAGGTGTGCACAGTTCTTTTGTACAGCTGGTACTAGCATTCAAACAAAAATATTTAAATCAATGTAATTCTGAACAAAAATAACAACATATATTGTAGTGTAGGTTACTATGCTAAACCCACATAACTTATTCTAGCTTCTCGACAGGCCAATTTATTCATTCTTCTTGAGTCACATTTTGATCTTGTTAATTATTCACTTATCAACCTTAACTGCTTTTATATGAGCATATGTGAGTACACTTCTTATCCCATTCATCATATGTCTGTAGCTTATTGTGTGTAACAATAAATATTGATTAAAGAATGAATTAATTGAGTTGGCTCACTCGCCTTCTCCACTGCGCGTCATTTAGCTTCATTCTCTTCTCTTCATTTCTTTCGCTTCATCCCTCTGATTGTCTGTACAGGCCAAAGATTGTACAAAATATACGTATTCGAAATTCATTCTCGTATTCGGCTTATTTAATTCCGTTATATTCACTAACGCTAATTGATTCGATACATATATATACAAGGATTGACGACATGTATATTTTAATAACATTCATACGATATAAGTAGAGTCAGATATCGGGCCACAAAGTGGTGAGCCCGTCGACAACATCGTCCGATCTTATTGACATCAAAGTGAAGGGCTCCATTAAAATACACATATTGTTTCACAAACTACATTTCGCAGTTTTTGTTCAGTATTGTTGACATTTTAAAATAAGACTTAACACATCTCAGAATCTATTGATTAGTAAAGGATTCGTTTGGTAATATGTAAATGAAACATGACGAACTTAATAAACTAGCTGGGAGTTGCATGTTGTTACGTAATATATTTCATGCCCATTCAGTTTAAATAAGAACTTTCGTCTAAATTTTAACGAATAGTTTCACAATATTCGGGCGCCGAGTTAATGTGAGACATTAAAGAGGAAGAACAGTATTTGTAAAATCTCATCGAAAGAATTTGAAGTAAATCCAACGTTTCGTCCAAGCTTTTTCAAGGAAAATATAATCAAACAACAAAATTATCGAATAATTTCGATTTACTTCAAATTCATTCGCTGAGATTTTACAAATACATTCTTCCTCTCTAATGTCTCATTTAGTTTAGCTACAAATACTCAATTTTTAATATTACTGTGGTGTATGCTACTTATGTCGATTGTTCCCCACTGGTGTTCTTGTTCACCAAAGTACCACTGTTGAACTGATGAAAACTATACCTAAACATATCAATTGATACATAGTTGAGTAATGATTACTCTATCACTCTAGTAAATGTCGTTACATGTAGTTATATATAAATAATACAAATATATCTATATGGATATAATATTGAACATACCACTTTCATTGGATATAACTAAGGTAAAGGTTATGCTTATAAGCCATAGAATAATATATTGAATATATCTATTCATTACAATATATATTGCAGTATAGATTTATTAACATTTGATGATAAAATCCTAATTTATATATGCATGTTTAATAGAGTAAGACATGTCTTAATAGTAATGGTTAAATTATATGAATATGATCATGTTTTGGCTTGATTTCAGAACAATGATCATCAATGATAAACTTGTAATAAGTTGAAAGAAAAACTAACATGAACTTGATAAAGTGAGTGTGCTAGTACTGGGTTAGATTGGCTGGTGATTTAAGACGAATTGTGTGCTAACAAATGTTATCCTAAAAGCAAATACAACTTAAGTGTGATATATATAATAAAAATAAGATTAGTTTGTACTAATATAATAGCTAATTTGGCTCTGTCACCTTGTCTTAAAGAAGAAACATTTTATGCTTTAGGACAAATGTGTACTACTTAAACTTGGATTTATTTGATTTAGTTGTTTATTCTCTGACAAAATGGGTTACATGAGTGACGAAACGCCGGAACATTTAATTTTTCTATTCATTTGGGTATAACAAATATATTATATTATTTTATTTAAATGTGTTATTTCGTTGTATTCCACATTTGTCATCAAACATTAGTTAAACATGGCCAAAACATTCAGTATGATCCTCTGTTCCAACTGTACGACGTACTAACGTATGTTGTTCTGATGTTTTAAGTGTCTTTTAATGAAGCTCTTTATGTTTTTATTATACAGCATGGAAGAATATCGTTGTGCTTATGACTAGTTCATTTCAATAGAAAGCTAATATTTTAACTGTAATTGTTCTTTTAATTTAATATTTCAATTATGAGTTTTAAAATGGGTCATCTATTTTCATTTCTATCAATAAACATTTGAATGTTTATTCGATTTTAACTATGTACAACACTAACGATGTAGTGGACGAGAATAGAAGTGAAGACAATCGAATGTATTTGAACATAAAAATTACAGCATCTTAGAATCAAACAGTAAATACTTCATTTGCAAAATATCAGTCAATAGTCTTAAACTTCATTGTTCATTCGGTTCCACACTAATCATTATCTGTTCTCGTTCTCTTTTCTTCGATCTTCATAACGTTCTACCACCAGGTATTTCACTTTCGATTGAAGATACATACTACTTATATCTGTCGACATCAGTAGCACACAACACAATGATTATTTAAAGAATTAAAAAGTCAGTATTTCAGAAATAACACTGAGATTATCAATAATTTAGATAGGTAGACCTATCATGGATCTTCTAAATAATAAGGTACCATATAAATAATAAACTTTATTTACTAGAGTGACATAATTTTACTCTAACTTGACTTACTGTATTTGTTTTTATTAATAAATAAGTGGAACTATAGTGTATAGATTTCCTTGATTGACTTGGAAAGTGACCTTAACTAAATTTTTATAGGGTTCCTAGCCATTTAGAATGTTGTTGATATTGATGAAAAATATGACAACAAAAATGTGCGTAAACTTTTGTTTAAGAACTCATGAAATCATGATTGATTGATCACTGGGTAGTGATCAATGTCATGTGTGTCAATTCCTTATTTAGTTCAGATCGAACGCTATCGACCAAGTTGCAATGTGGCCACTAGTCTAGGTGACTCGACACTGCGTGCACTATGTTGGGATAAGATAGTGGTTGGAGGTAGTCAACAGGAAACCCTGGACCCAGGTTTTGTGCTACCACCAGTGATCAATCAATTGTACAGGTACACTTTGCTGACGAGTGCCAAGTAGCACGAAACCCGGGTCTAGGATTTTCTGTTGACTACCTCCAACCACCATCTAAGAACTCATGAAGTTTGCGGTTAAGAATTAAGGTTAGGAAAATTCACGAAATATCTAAATTATGATGTTGACAAGCGTAAAAAACTACATCAAAGTTTAATGAGCGAAAAAGAGATATTATTTCAGATTAAAGTATTGTTCAAGGCTTAAAATAGCAACAGTTGTTAATTAATCAATCTTTACATATGAACATGATATTAATGCCCATTTTTCATCATATTTGAAATCCAGACATAGTAACTAATAATAACTTTCTCATAGAATTACTGGACTACTGTATATATTACATCACAATTGCGTTTATGCAAGAAATGAATATAAATGTGCAATACGATCTGGTTTATAAATCAAATACACTCAGTCAGATAATTGACCTAATATTTACTAATACACATTCAAACACTAATGTAAAGGAAATTAAAGCGTAATATGGTCACCGATGATATTAACATTCATTTGCATGCGTTTATATGTTCATATCCACTGACTTGTTGATATAGTGTAACAGTAGCGAAAATCATTACATGTGATGTTACTAACACGAGTCTGTTTTTCTTATTGCAGGACAACAAAGAGTAAACGCACTGGAAGAAGAGGAACAAGCTCTACGAAAGCTGAACCTGCAGAACGATAGAAAAAACTATTTTGTAATAAGTTCTCCCTTTTTGTAATATGACCGCGTCTTTCAATTTTAAAATATATCTCTGTTGTGCTAGTACGCCAAGTTCTCACTTCAGAGGCAGTTACCAGTTCTGACTGTTGTGTTGTTGTTTCAGATCGCTCCTGCTTCCGAATAAACACTAATACAACGTGCTACAATAGTTGTTAAATTTTGCTAGTTAAACCATGTTTTAACCTGTAGATGTAACTTGTTCTCTGTATAAATAACTTACACAGGCTAGAAAAACTTGCGAAACTCAGCTATCTACTCACCAGGATTATAATAATAAAAATAATAATACATAAGTCATATAATAAGAAAACTAATTAAAATTAAATATATTTAAAATAATAATGTAGTATTTTGGCTGGCAAGATTATATGACAACGAAAACTAGACTATCTAGTTGATGTGGTGTGAAAACTTGTCCAAACAAGCATAAGTCTAAGTTTACTTAGTATTGTTTACTTGAATCTTCCCATCGATACTTTTAGGAATGCAATTGATCAGTCTGTTGTTAGTATATGTACATACTGTGAGTATTGCCTCGATATTGCCTCAAGTCACAAGCATTATAAGAAAAGATGAATAGTGGTTAGCAGTGGAATCCAGTTTGACGCGCGTTTCGTCCTATTTGAGATTTGTCAGCTGGATAACGCGATTCTGTTTGAAGCAAATGGTACTGGGTTCGGGTCCAAGAGTGAACATTAACTCCGAGATGCAGGTAAATCCAGCTGTTAGGTCCCAAATAGGATGAAATGCGCGTCTTGGATCCAACTGCTAGCCGTTATCCATCTTTGTTTATAAAGCATTTGTCTAGTTGAGAGTAGTTCAGTTACTTAATGAAATGTAAAGTAAGCTGTACATCTATCATTTGTACTAAACACTAACGGTTGTAATACGAGAGATTGAGTAACGGTTGAAAACCTTTCGTTTACATATATATGTTGCCCTGGTGCATATAACTTCTGAATTAAGAATACAGGTTTCTAGTTCAAAGTTTTCTCGGCAGATAGACCTTGAAATAATTGCAAGAACTCAATTACTTATTTTGAATTTTTTACAACTTTTAACACAATGAAAACATTAGTTTAATTTGTAATAGCTAGGATCATCCCGTTGTTGATCATTTGAATGAAATGTGATCAATCTTAGTTGTAATATATGAATGAAGTTCAGATTGCCTTGATAGAGCCATTATTAACAAGGTTCATATAGAACAGGTGGATTGTAGCTAGCAGTGGTATCCAGGACGCGTGTTTCATCCAATTATGGACTCATCAGCTCAATGTCCCTGAACCTTAGTGTTAAAGTTCATTTCGGAAATCAGACCCACTCCGTTCAGTTTCGAACGTTAATGCATTATCCACTTCACAGGAACATTCAGTTGATGATTTTTAGATAGGATCAAAACCTTATCCTGCATTCCAACGCTAGTAAACTTCCACCTATTCTATATACCACGAATATGTCATAACAGAGTAACATTGGTTCACTTGTTCCGAAGACTCATTTAGCTACTTACAATCTAAAATAGTAGTATTAATTACTTTAAAAACCGGAGGTCGGTAAAGAATTATATACATAGAAGAACTTGAATTGGTTACTTCGTCAATTTTCACTCCGAAATACGATGAACTATTAACCATATGTTTCTTAATATTGTGTCTTAATATTGCCACGAATTCATTTGTGAATATTCAGAAGACAGAATATTATTTTCTTTGGGAGAACGTATAGATGTACATATATGTTTATATATCAATGTGTATTTTCTATGTGTAAATCAGTATGCGAATGAAGTTATTGATTATCTGTGTGTACAATCAATGATGAAAATCAGGATACGGACAATATTCAGTGAAGCTGACATATTCGTATTTGAACAACACATATAAGCGAACAATTGTTTTCAATTAGATCGTCATCAGGCTTTACTCTAATATACATGAATATTTATACGAGTCTATTTACCCACGTTTAACCTTCTATCACCAACGTTTAACCATTGATAAGGCTTTTGTTATCGTATTTTATTATTCTTACTACTATCAGTACACCTGTCTTCCTACTATCAATTTGTATTTTTACCTATTATGTGCAGAGACTTATTCTATTTCATTGTGATTATTGACCCAAATTGCCTTGATTGGTTCACATTTTCGTATAAATACTTATGTATATTAGAGTAAAGCCTGATGACGATCTAATTGAAAACAATTATTCGCTTTTATGTGTTGTTCTCATTTTCACAATGGGAATCTTTAATATTCATATTTGTAATGGATCGAATATCTTGATTATAATAAATAGGTAATCAAAATATAGTAGGCTTTTCTTAACCTTTTTGTGTATTCTGGTTAAGAAAGGCTTTGTACAAACTTCAGAAACCATTTCATAAATTGCAAACATACTCCTCAATTTCTAAAATCTTCTAAGTAAAAAAATAATTTTATTTAAGGTGATTCCTGAACTTTATAAAATCTTCCACTTTTTAGATCGTGGTACTGACTTATAAAACTCAGATACTTATTCGTTGATAGAATTTTTTTGTCTGACTCTGTCCTGACAAGAAAAGCTTACGTACGATGGGCTAAAAGGATCTCATATCATAACTCTATCTGCGTACACACATTGTACACAGAAGACGAGAGTGAGTTAGCGTTAACCATAGTTAACAAGTATCTGTTTCATAATAGTTATCTATGAGAGTTTAACTATACATATGAAAGAATAGTAACGAAGAAAACGGAATATCTTACAGTCAAGCAAAATCTTGTTGACCCGGTTGCTTCTGTCCTAGATTTCAAAGCTTTCCTACTTCAATTAGTATCCGAATTTGTCACTACTCACTGAAATAAACAAAATTATTTCATTACGTCAATACAAATTTTGCAGTTTATACATGACTTTCAGTAAATTTACTGGATTGTAAACTACGGTTATGCCTTGGAGCTTTAATAATTATTCTTCATATATGGTAGAATGATCTTGTATTGGGAAACCAAAAATGCTTGAAATCACCGATTCTAGTTTGTTTCACTGATGCTACCCATTTATATTATTATTCTTTTTTACTACTCTTATTATTATTATTTGTAGCTTAACATTATAAAATTTAGTTAGATAGATTCGCTCCCTATTTTAATGCACGTCATTCTCGACTATAGTCTATCATGGTAATATTTTATATCTCTCTTCTCAAACGTTCTGTATCATAGAGAAAATTTTGCCTCACCTTTATAAACTGAAGTATTTCAATCTACTGTTTATCATTAAATTATTTGCTTTAAATTAAGGGTATTAACAGCTAATGTGAGACTATGGTGTGATCTATAGTCATCCAGTCTATTTAATTTTTTGTTACAGGTATTACATAACTATAATATTTCATTTCTAAACAATTCTGTCTTTCACACTCTTAGCTTTTCTTATAGAATATTCAAATATATAACCTATAAACTCTTGTGCCATAAAAACAAAAGTGCTGATCACTTATACTCGGAACGAGGGGTCACGGTAATTCCCATGATGCGAAAGTAAGAACACAAAGACTGGTATAAGTGAAGATTTATTATCCTCAAAACACTATGACGATGACGAATCATCATAGTCTAAAATACACTGGTTTATATATTGATTGTACGTCCATTTTGATTAATAATTAGGATTAGACCACATACTCAGTTATAACAAATCACTTAATAAGCATAGTTCATGTCAAGTGAATACAAGAATATCGTATATTATACAGAATAAAATATCACACTGGGAAAACAAACCAAATACTACACCGAATGATCCTCACGTTGAATCAACAATGGATGTAATGTTGAATAAAACTGATAATGAGGAATTCAATCGAAAATTGACTTTTCTTTCCATCATATCAAACAATAATTAATCTACTGGGTATAATTCGGGTCCTAACATAAACATTCACATTATTTAACATATAGATATCTATTATAATCTTTTCATACTGATTACTCTTTTTTGATTAACCTTTGTTGATGAGAACTATATCAATATGATGACAAAATATATACACTATTATTTAACTAACATTACTACTAACTTTAAGTCATAAGTAGCTGAACAAAAGCCATGAAATAACATGAATTCATGATACTATCAGAAGAGGGTCTTGTGGAGATCTTAGTAATTTAATGGTTGAATTCATTCGTCAATTGAAGTCATGACCAGTGGAGTTCGACCAGGTCTGTTGCGAGATTATAACTCACTGAAGACAATGGTGGACGGTGAGGCAATTTCGTGGATTGGCTGAAGTTAGACATTAACACGGTTGGATGCCGGCGGTTCAGTGATCTGGAGGTTAGGCATTCGTGCATGAAACCGATAGGTCCTGATTTCGAATCCTGCAAGCGGGATCGTGGATGCGCACTGCTGAGGAGTCCCACAGTAAGACGAAACGGCCGTCCCATGCTTTCAGGTTTTCCATAATGGTATAGCTTCAATTGACTCCTGAATCCAACTATTAAATCAAGTAAATTTTATTAATACTCTATCCAAAGTCACGAAAGAAGTCAGATAATATGAAATTCTGGATAATTTCTTCTATCACGAATACTGATGATGATGATGTAGGGATTGTCCTTGTGCAAAGTTATAGTAATTTGGTATGTTTATTATCTCTTGAAGGAGAGCCTCGACACCACATACAATTCATTCTTTGAATTTAAACTGAAACATCTCTATGATCGCTAAACGAATTGTTAGCTGATAGAAAACTGTTTATTTTATTCTATCATAAACACTAAAAATGCAATCAACGAAAAAAATCGTAGTTCACGGTTTTCTTCAAAATGATTGGATTGCAATGACTCAAAGATTTGAACTATATATCGTTTATATTGGATAGTTTAACACGATCTGATTATTTATTCTTTAAACCTACATTAGTAACAACTTATTTCATGAATTTTATTAGTTATCAACAAGTCATTACTGACTTACATGCTTGCTTACTTACTTACCTACTAACTTGCTTACTTACTTACATACTTACCTACTTACTTACTTACCTACTTATGCATGTTACCCCTCGTCGAGGAGGCCACCCACCAATACTCTCCGTACATACAATAAACTCAACACTGATAAAAGCTCAGATTAAAAGACAATCAACTTCTAAAACAAATAACAAGTAAACAGATTGATTCTAAAGTAATGTATTCATGTATTTAAATATACATTTCTTATGAATTTCAATAAACACTAATTTTAATTTTCTTCTTTGGTTGACATTTTACAAGACGACAAATTCCACTGCAACATTCTGAATTACTTAAACAAGCCCAATCTACATCTAAACATTTAACACATGTTCCGTTTGCAAATCCATGAAGTTCACAAACTGAGTTTTTACAACATGGATGGACAATTGATCGGTCACAATAACCTCCTAATGGTGAACAACGTCTTTTCACAGCTGCAAAGAGAAAAAAAGTAATAATAATAAAACTGATTAGATGCAAATGAGTACGTCTAGGAAGATTTAAATCTATTTATGATGTAAACATTTATTACATGAGAAACTGTATAATTCTGTTGCATGGAAATCTACGCATTCATATCATTATTTCTTTAGTTTCTAACAAAGGATGTATTTATTTATTTGAATACATAAATACTTGTACAAAGGGACACCGATTACATATACGCCACACAAGTCACTTGATTTGTGTGTGGGCTATGATACTGCTCGGGTGTCCAGACCAAAGCAAGTGGTTTTCTTTAGGGGTAACTCCCCGAGCCTTCGACATAAAGGTCTGATCCACAACGCAGTGGAGCAACATCAGGAGATGAAGTCCCATCGTAGACAGTGACTAATTATTGATTCATACGTGATTTGTTTCCTCAGGATCCTGGAAACCATGTGCACCATTGGTTTAGAATCAGGGTTTTCCAACTCCCCTAGATGGACACGGAAGGTTTACCAACCCAGTTGAAGCGTCGGACATTCGCCTTTTGTCCTCTTAATTTCATAAATGACACCCACGCCACGATAAGGAAGTGAGTAGGACTTCCCTGCCAGTGGCACTATAAGCGTGGCCACGTGACAGCATTTGTAGGGGGAGAGCTGATTCGCCCCACCCTCGACCGTATCAAGGCATTTGGGGGCTAACAAAGGATGAGAAAGAATAAAAATGCCTTATTTACAATTTATAAATATTATCTTTAATGGAAATGCTATTTTTCTTTTCAGTTATGAGCCAATATTTTTTCGTTTCAAGTTGTGTGCATTAATGCAAACTATATAAATAAATTTCTCATCATTGTGAATAATTAAACATTCTGATAGAATATTTCATTTTTATGAATCAAAATGAAAATCACAAGTACATTTGTATTGGTTGTTTGAATCTTCTTATTAACGTTTAGGACTGCAATTGATCAGTCTGTGTATTCTGTGTGGATTGCCTCAATATTTAAGTTATAAGAATTATAGGTAGAGATGAATGGTAGCTATAAGTGAAACCCGGGACGCCTGTCAAAGTATGTCGAATATATATGCCAAAAATGACTGATTAATTGCAGTTCTAAACATTAATTGGAAGATTCCAACAACCAATACAGGTGAATCAGATTTCACACCGATGCACAAGAGAACACTCGTTTGAACTCAGTAGCTAGGTGGAAGCAAAAAGTGATGGAATCGAGTCCTTGAGTGAACATTAACTCCGAGACCCTTGTAAATTCAGCTGGTGAGTTCTACATGGAATGAACCGGACGTCTTCGATTCTGCTGTGAGCTACCATTCATTCATCCATAAGCATGAAGTTGTAAATTGTTTGATTACAAGTAATACATGTTACTGTGGATTTCTTGTGAGCTATCGTTTCATAATTAAACCATCTGTAATCTTTAGATAAAGACTGTTCACTTTAATACACAATAGAGTTTTTATGTAAATGACGAGATAAAAGTAGATGATATATACATTATCTTTCCACTAATCAAACAAAATTTTAAGTACAATATAATGATCATTTTAGAAAAACCTCTATAAAAATTGAGTATAATTTAAAGGCAACAATCAAACTGTATTGAATATAAAATAATTATAACATTGTAAATATAAATCTTTGGTGATGAGATAAATGTAGTATTTCATTGTAGTCATCTCATTTGCCTTAACAAATCACATCAATGAGAAGATTCAAGTAAACAATACCAAGTGAATTTGAATTTCACTCCATCGCACAAGCAAGTGACTATCAGGACTCAATAGCTAAGTAGATAAACTGATGGCATTTGAAGCAAATGGTACTGGGTTCTAGTCCCATAGTGAACATTAACATCATTGATGCCTTTAGGACTGCAAATAATCAGTCTGTTATTAGTATGTGTACATACTGTGAGTATTGCCTCGATATTGCCTCAAGTCACAGGCATTGTGGGCAAAGTTGGATAGTGGTTAGCAGTGGAATCTAGTTTGACGCGCGTTTCATCCTATTTGAGATTTGTCAGCTGGATAACGCGATTCTGTTTGAAACGAACGGTACTGGATTCGGGTCGAAGAGTGAACATTAACTCCGAGATGTAGGTACACTCAGCTGACGAGTCCCAAATAGGACGAAACGCACTTCCTGGATTCCACTACTAGTCATTATTCATCTTTGCTTATAAATCACATTAATGTTTTTGATACAATACTAACACGTACATAATTTTGTGATTTATCATTATTTGGCTACATACCTGATAACATATTACTCCATGAATAGTCAATTTATAATGGTTTATTAATATACATGACAGTTTTAAGTGATTATCTATTTATGATAATATTGAATGAATACTATATAAATTAACATACAGAATGATAAACATACCAATTTCGGGTAAAGCTTGAATATAATTTAAAATGAAAAGCCAAAGCCAAATAAATTGCATCATTTTACTCATTATAATGTTTTCTATTATAGGCTTTCTTAGAATGAAAGGATAAACATATAAATTTATGGATATATATATATATATATCTATCCATATGAATGTCAAGCAAAGAAGACCCGAACACAAGATGGATCAAGACATATCACCATAACATCAGCTGAATCAAATCACAAGGTATAATTTGATTATGTTTAAGATTTATCTTTTTCAAATAGAAAGAAGAAAAAGAAAAGATACTTCCTTTATTTTCAATAATTAAGTTGACATTAGTCTTCTTTTATATTAAAAAAAAAGTTTTTCATTCAATTCAGTTTTATATAGAAATGTCTAGAAAATGATCCAAATTCGAAAATTTCATTTAATTACTTATCCATTAATGGGAACATGATTAGTGATTACATGCACTAATCAAATTACATTTGATGAAGAAACTATGAAGAATGTAAAGATTTTTACATATTTGGGAAGTATCAATGATGAGCATGATAGATCTGTTATAGATGTAAAGGTATGAATCGGCAAAGCAAAAGCAACATATTTACAACTGAAGAATATCTGAAACTTAAAACAACTGTTAACCAACAGCAAAGTTAGAATTTTCAATACAAATGTCAAAACAGTTCTACTATATGGGGCGGAAACTTGGAGAAACACGAAAGCCATTATCCAGAGGATAAAAGTGTTTATTAACAGTTGTCTACACAAAATACTTCGAACTCTTTGGCTAGACACTATCAGCAACAACCTATTGTGGGAGAGAACAAACCAGATCTCAGTGGAGAAAGAAATCAGGAAGAAGAGCAGAAAGTGGATAGGACACACATTGAGGAACACACACAACTGCGTCACAAGCAAGCCCACACATAAAATCCACAAGACCAAAATAGAAGATGAAGGTCAGTGAACACATTACGTCGAAAAACGGAGATAGATATAAGAAGAATGAACAACAATTGAATAGAACTAGAAAGGAAGGCCGATGACAGAGTGGTTTGAAGAATGTTGGTTAGTGGCCCATGTTCCATTTGGGGTAACAGGCGTAAGTCAGTAAGCAAGTAATTGAGAAGCCCTGTTAAACGTTCTAGTTGAAGATGCGTTTTAAAAACTAAATAGGTGCGATTTTATTCACCCGTAAATACTTCATCAAAAAATGTTCCAACGGAATAAGTGTTAACTATTTAGCGACGAACGAAGTCTATTGAAACTTAAAACTTATATGGACTTTAAGCATGACAAAAGATATTTGAGAATGAAATATTCAATTGAATTAACAAACTACTTAGTGAATAGCAAGATATATTTGTAGACAAACGTATAAAAAATGTTTTGTAAGTTAATAGTCCGTTATTTTAGTCTTTGTTGAAATATGTACATCCTATACAGATTCCTTCTACATAATTATTCAAATACAGGTTTTATTGAGTAGATGGATTGTATCTAACAGGTGGAATCCAGCAGGCACACATTCTCCTCTTTTCCTTTTCCATTCAAGATTTCAACTTAGTGCTTGCATAGTGATGCAGTTAAGTGATTTTCTCAATGTATGTCATATCCAATTCCAACGTCTTTTCCTAATTTCCTCTTCAGTTGAAAGCTAGTTTCTTCTCTCTCACAATAAACTGTAACTGATGCTATCCAGTCAACGGACATTGAGTATCTTGCGTAGACAATTGTTTATAAATACTTATACCTTTTGATGTTATTTGTAGTAGTTCTCGGAATTTCAGTTCCATACAGTAGAATTTTCCTGACATTCATATTAATAATTGTGACTTTCATGTTGACTGGTAGTTGTTCTAATTTCTATATGTTCTTCAATTGTAGGACTACTATGCTGCCTTTCCAGTCCTTGTATTTACGTCTTTATCAGATTCCCCTTGTTTATCAACTATGCTGCCCAGTTATCTAGAACTTTCTACCCCTTTCAAAGTTTCTCTATCAAGTGTGATTCGATTGGTGTTATCCATCTTGTATTTAAGAATCTTTTTTTATCCCTTATGTATGTTGAAGCCTACTGATGCACAGGCTGCTGCTACATTAGTTATCCTCATCAGCATTTGTTGGTGTTCATGGTACAATAGAGCTCACTCATCTGAGAATTTCGAATCGTTGAACGTTCCATTGTATTCCAATAAATCAAGAGTTAAATTTCACCTTTTTGATAACATTTCAACAACCTTGATATTATCATTAGTAGGATTGTTATAAATTCATTAATGTATCATTAAATATTTAATTTAACTCCGTTGTCCAAACACTATCAGCAACAACCTACTGTGGGAGAGAACAAATCAGATCCCAGTGGATGAAGAAATCAGGAAGAAGCACTAGAAGTGTATAGGACATACATTGAGGAAAGCACCCAACTGTGTTACAAGACAAACTTTTACTTGGAATCCTCAAGGCGAAAAGCGAAGAGAAAAGAACAAAGAACACAATACGCTGCAAAATAAAGACAGACATGATAAGCATAAACAACAATTGGATAGAACTAGAAATGAAGGCCTAAGGCAGATTGGGTTGGAGAATGCTTATTGGCGGACTATGCTCCATTGGGAGGTAACAGGCGTTAGTAAGTAAGTAAGTTTATATGTTGATTCTCATTTACTGGTTAACTGATTATGTGATTAGTGATTTGTTAATAATGAATTTTCTTAACCTTTCTTTCTCCATTAAAATACTATACAAATTTTATAATGTAACCAATGAGACTATAATTTATGGACGACCTTTAAACGACGCCAATATAATGTTGAAAGTGCATACCTACTTAATCTTGCTAAATAAAAATTATAAAGCAATTTAAGAAATAATAATAGTTTACATTTGATGTTCGAAGTTTCGAATTTAGATTTATAGTTTTCATCACGAACTAACATACTAACTAATATCAACCAAGACACTATTTAAACGAATGAATAAGTGAATTTCGTTTCAAAAACCAAAGAGCTGTTATCTTAAATCTGATTGGTTCATCCTATAAATTATAGACTCCTCGTATAACCTTAGGCTATTTTATATATCCCATATTATTGAATTAAGAATTTTTATCCCATAGAAACCATTTCAAAAAGATAATAAAAGAAAGAAAGTCGTTGTGTTTTTTTGTTGTTGTTGAAAATATGAATTCCTATTTATTTTTGTATATTCAATAAGAAGTGTTTTTCTTTTCTTTCTCTAATATGATTCTTATACTTTAGATCATAATAAAGTAGTAAGTTATTATTAAGCTAAAATAGAAAATATCATGCAAAAGAAAACAATAATTAACTCTAATTAACTTGTAAAATAATAATAATAATAATAATAATAAATAGTGTATTATTGTCCTCTACATGTATGATATTTTTATCCACTTTTATACATACATAATATATGTGAGTAATCATTTGTAACTATGTGTGTTTTTTTGTTGTCAGGCAGCAACAACAACAACAACAAAAATAATAACTGGAAGAGAACTGTTTACAGGATTGTTTTCTTTTTTTTCTTTTTACCAATCTAGTTGTATATGTATAAATATACGATAAATCTAAGAATTCATTTGAACTTTAATTGATAAATCATTTTGAGCTCTTCATTAGATACAATTTAGATCCATTATGAATGGTAAAAATGTTCTTCACTGTATATATATATATATATATATATATATATATATATATATATATATATATATATATATATATATATATATATATATATATATATATATATATATATATATATAATCATGATTATGATTTATACACTTTTATTGATTAGATAATGATTTTGTTTCTCATCCTCTTGATTCATTTGTTCAATAAAGGCACATTTATTCATTTCATTATTCATTAATTCTTCATTACGACGAAATTTTTCAAATTCATCTCTACGTTTTAATACTTTTTCACGTCTCATATGTTCTTTATAAAAATCAGCAAAATTATTCACAATAATTGGAATTGGTAATGCTACTACTAATACACCACATATACAACAACATGCACCAATTAATTTGCCTAATATTGTTCTTGGTAACATATCACCATAACCAACTGTTGTCATTGTAATAGTTGCCCACCAAAATGCCGATGGTATACTACGAAACATTTCAGAATTTTCATCTTTTTCAGCAAAATATACTAAACTAGAAAATAATACTACACCTAAAGCAATTAATAACATAAGTAAACCAAGTTCTTTATAAGAACGTTTAAATGTATAACCAAGTGCTTGTAAACCAGTTGAATGTCTAGCAAGTTTAAATATACGTAATATACGAAGAATACGAAATATTTGTACAATTTTTCTTAATGAATGTAATGATTCATTATGATGTCTTGTTACAACTTCTACCAATAATACATGGATATAGAATGGTAAAATTGCTATTAAATCAATAATATTGAGAATACGTTTAAGAAATTTCAATTTATTTGGTGAACACCATAAACGTAATACATATTCCAATGTAAACCAAGAGATACATATTGTTTCAACAATATCTAAATATGGATTATCAGTTATTTCATTTGATGATTGATGTATAGTAGTAGTAGTAGTAGCATTATTATAATTTGTATCAGTAAGTATCTCCGTCTCAATATATTTGATCAATGTAGTGTTAAGTTGTATTTCAGGCATTGTATTCAACGTTAAACTGATTGTAGATAGAAGGATAAAAATTATTGAAACGATTGCAAACACCTATGTAGAATGAAATAGATGAAAACAGTAACAAGGGGTTATATATATATAATAATGTAAAGAAAAATTAGTAGTTTGATGAATACAAATCAAAAATGTAGTTGGCTTTTACGGTGTTATTCTTCACATGCTTCATGCTTCTTTCAATTCTTCTGTTCTTCCAATTACTCTTTCTTTTCTTTCATGTTCTTTACAATTCATTTTTCTGTTAACAGGCATCCCACTTCCATTTGCCGCTACATACTACTTATATCTATCAGCATAAGTAGCATATATATATGTGTTACACAGCAAACATCATGGGATATTTAAACATTTAATCCCAACAACGTCTTTAATTTTCTTAATTTATGGCTTTAAAAAAGAATACCGTAAAAGATATTCGTTTATTAATTTATCATCTTAACTTATACCTCGAGCTTAGCTTCAAGGTGAATGTTATTGGTGACAAGATACAAGAAATATATGTCCATAGGTTGTATTTTTGTTGTTCACTTGAATAAATAAACGATTTATGTGTACCCATGAAACAAACAACGCTCTTTTAAGGCATGAAACTTCCAAAATCTAGTATCTAAGTTATTATCATTGAACTATTCAGTCAATTAAATTAGTCTTTTGGTATTTGTGAACGCATGAAAAATCTAATTAGTAGAATTTGAATAGTATTATGAACTTGGTAATGTAACGTTGGTTGTCGTTTTGTGATCGATTATAGTAAAAATACAAAATCATTCAGTAATTACGTACTCCGTTTTTTTTTTAACTTCAAATGGTAGGAATCTGTTTTTTTCAAACTGTGGAAAATCTTGTTCAGTGAGATATATCTATATGGTTGACTATGTGAGATGTCATTATAGTGACAAGAACACCAGTGGGGGACAATCGTATGTATTTGACATGAAATTACAGAGCATCTGACTAGAATCTGTGAACCATATATTAAATAGTTTATTCGCAAAATATCAATGCATCATCTTAAACTTGACTGTTCCTGTTGCAAACATCAGTTTCAGATCTCATTATTCATACGTTTTCATACCCATTGAGTTTTGTTCTCGTTCTTTCCTCATCGACCTTCTACTGAAATATACATTCTATATCTGACCACCCTCATATATTTCTTGTGTGGATATAAATAACCCACACCACATCACTTTTTGACACCTGTCTTCACTTTAAAAACTGATAGCTTTCGAATACTTTCTGGTGGATTCAAATTAGTTGACCTTCTCAAGGTTCTGTAAAATAAGCTTTATATTTAATAATATTCTAGGACATTTGTAAACGTTTATTAATATATTCATTATTGTAATATCTATCTGAACTTAATCATTTGGTGGAAAACACATTGATGTTGGGAACAAAAGTAATTAGGTTGGATTTTCAATGTGAACATAAACATTGGAATGCAAGTATATTCTATATATGATGAAATACGTGTTCTGAATTTCACTGCTCGCCACTATTGAATTTCCATATTACTAGACATGTTATTCCCTATGTTTATGGGAATCATTAGTTAACCTACAAAACGTTAAAAAAGTAACTATGAGACTGAATTATCATACAAATGAATTGGGAATATCAAGTTAAATGAATATTATCAATCTGTTAGGTTTGAAGCAAACACGAGTTCAATTGATGCGTTCCAGCCCCGCTAACTTGAGGGAGAAGTCCAAGCTTGGAGTGGGAAAGTAGATTCTGCAAACAGCCAGAAACGAGCGATAACGACAAAAATAATTCAAAACGTATATATACAGTACAAAACCGTCCTTGGGGAGAGTTACTAAATAGCATACTAAAAGACTCAACGGACCAATAGCATTTAAGATATTTCCCAGTGGGAAATACGACATGAAGGTGACAAGAGCGCCCTTGGCTCGAAAACAAAAAAGCTTCAAATTTTCTAAATAAAATTACAAAATAAGGTCCTTTCCCACGTGAGTTCTGGGGATCTAACGTCCCCAACACAATCTAATAGTGTAAATGAAGAGTATTTAACATAAATGATAATGAGATATACAAAATGGATAAAATACAACCTTTTAAAACAGTAAAATAATATTGAGAAAACTAGGTATACATTTCTATGAACATAGATGAACTAAACTATGGTAAAACTAAATTTCTTCTAATGAGTATAAACTAAGAAATTGTTTTTGTACAAACACCTTTAATATTAAATTGTCAATAACTAATTATTGATTTACATTGTTTAGGATAGGTCTACATATTGACCTTCTATTTCGTAATTGATGTCACAAAAAGTGTTTAATAGATTGAATCAGTCAGTCAGTCAGTCAGCCACAATGTAGGACCAGGCACACATATGTATCGGTTCAAGTTGTCACATGTCATTAGCATAACAAATGAAATCACTACTGTTATGAATGAGATTTGTTCAATAAATATCCTAGTTTTGAATATATTGTGATTCATTATTTATTCTACGACATTTAGTCAGTCAGTCAGTCATCTAAAACATAGGACCAGGCATATATATGCATCGGTCAAAGTGGCCGTACCTCATTAGCCCAAAACGATGAACACTAAATTCATAGAAGTAGTTAATTCAATTCTACGACTTTACCATATAATTTCTGTATGTAATCATTTGAGTTTCAAATACTGAATAAATAATAAAATAATGCAAGATGTTTGTCTGGTCTTTCTTCTGAACAAAAATACCGCGAAACAACAGTTCTACATTCGATCATATTTTTATATTGAAGCACTTTTTCCATCCTGATTGCGCGCTAATAACACTAATCTTAAACTGTTCGAATTGTGTTAAACTAATTATTATTACATGTTACACTCGTCATTATCCATCAGAATAATAGCACCTAATAATAGATATAATTAATTGGATTATGTTTTAATATTATTGTCAAGCGCATCAATTTGAGACATGGAAACAAAACATGTACGATATAACTTTTTACATGATGAAATGAAACAACAGTTTCATTACATAATATGTAAACTACATGGTTGATATTGATGAAAGATTAGTGATACTCAGTTGCTTTTAAATTCAGAAAAATCAAACTCATAATTTTTGTCACAATTTCGTTTACTGAACTGGACGGTTTAGTCATGACGTTTACTTTATCATTTAAATTATTCTGCATAAAAATGACAGGTTAACCGATTTACGTTGATAAAGGTTCAGAAAGACAATGAACGTTTCATGGTTAAATCAATTAGTTGACAGAATCAAATCATCCAAATAAACAACTGAAACACAAGTCGCCTTCATTTCATAGCTCTGTATTAAAAATTTGTTTTCCCATAACAATACTGTACCATCCACAAATGGTGTTGTTTTTATAGAATACACAGTTAAGAAACAAACGTTTGTGTCACAATATTATATACAACAGAATCACATATTTTCTAAGATCTAGTGTTTGTTCTTATCGTGATAGTTCTAACAAATCCTAGACACGATTAGAACGCGTACTGTGTATTTCACTGCTATTTGCAACTCATGTTAAGATGGTGGTTGAAGGTGGTCAACAGGAAACCCTGGATCTAGGTTTCGTGCTGCTTGGCACTCGTCAGTAAGGTGTACATGTAATCTTGGGAAAACTGATGCTCAGTGGTAACATTTCTGACCATGAAGCTGTGTGACACGGAAGTGAATTCGTCAGGGAGCATCGGTTCTCTCAAGATTTCAGGTACACCTTACTGACCGGTGCCAAGTAGCACGAAACCTAGGTCCATGGTTTCCTATTGACTACCTCCAATCACCATCTTGTCTCAAAATAGCGTACGCCATGTCAAGTCATTTAGACTAGTAGCCACATTGTAACTTGGTTCATAGGATTCGATCTGCACTAAGAGCTGACAAACGTGACATTGATCACCATCCACTGATCAATCAATTGTAAATACAACTCATCTTTTGTATTATCAATTTTATTTGAGCACTTTCTTTTAATCAATATTAAAATAGTTTAGAACTGATGAATAATTAAACGAGCTTTCAACGTTTCATTATTTCACCTAATCCGTCAATATTACTTGATTTATAGTTTTATAATAAACATTGTACAATGCAATAAATAAAGTGATATATATTAATATCAGGTAGGTTTTGTGGATATTATAGTGATTTCAATGGGTAAGATCATGAGTCCGTTGAAGTTAGACCACCATGGAAAACCTGGAAGCACAGAAAGATCGTTTTGTCCTATTATAGCACTCCTCTAGCTTCAACTGACTCATGATCTTAACCATTGAAATTACTTCAATATCCACAAAACCCATCTGATATTAATCAACATATGCTCACTAGTGACTGGCTTCAAGAGGTATTTCTTGGAGTTCTGGTGAGAAGTAGTGACAAGTTAAGTTCAACCAGGTCTATTGTGAGATAGTAACTCACTGAAGACAATGGTGGATGTGTCGCCCAATTTCGTGTATTAGTTTAAGTTAGACATTAACACCGTTGGATGCCGGCTCAGTGCTCTAGTGGCTAAATGCTCCCGCGCGAAACCAGTAGGTCCTGGGTTCGAATCTCGCGGGGGGGGCAAGGTCTTGAATGCACACTGCTGAGAAGTTCCACAATAGGACGAAACGTCCATCCAGTGCTTCCAGGTTTTCCATGATGGTCTAGCTTCAACTGTTTCATGATCATAACCATTGAAATTGATATAGATTAATTTAATATTAAAACTAAAGTCTACTGTTTATAGTAAATGAGTGTAGTAAAAAAAGTTCCATTGATTTATATTGACTGAATATGAATTAAATAGTTTCCAGGGGAAAATCAATAATTTTGTACAAATTATTCCTTTTGAAAAATTTAAACATAATTGAAAAAAGGTTAAAAAAAAGAATAGAATCTATTCATAATTGAATATTAAGGATTTTCTCATCAACTGTCAATTTATAATACAATCTCCTCTACTTTGGTTTATATAGATATATACGTCAATTGTATCCACGTGTATAATCATAAATATTGTGATCGATTCTCATTATTATAT